AAGGCGGTGTGCAGGGTGTGAGCCGCCAGCACAAGTGGTGCCCCATGGGTGCTCACAGGGACCCGGCCACGCAGAAGCAATGCAAAAACACCTCCCTGATAAAAAGCGAGGTCGGTGGGTAGGAAAAGGAAGGGCGCAAATTTGATCCCTGCCAACAGCAAACGCAGGGAGTTTGCCCAGCACAGCGCGGGGTCCGTTTGTTTTTTCTCTAAGTTGGTTGTTTGAGACAGGAGCTCCTCTCAAATAACCTAGGCTCATGGAAACAGGGCTGGTGCTTCAGCCCTGGGTTTAAGAGACTGGAGACTGCACAGTGGTGAGATTAAACCCCAGGGGAATCCACAGAATAGCTGCCTCTCCCTGGCTGAAACAGGCTGTGCCTTTTGTACATACACCAGACTTTGCACAGAAATTAAATACCTCCGGAGACACACTAGCTTCACTCTGCACTCCTCCTGTGCCAAGCAAGGGAGATTTACCTGGAAGCATGCGATGCCAAAGGAGATTCCAGCCACAACGCTCATTTTTGACTCCATTGTTGATGTTACCAGGAAAAAACAACCCTGCAGAGGAGGGAAAGAGAGCACATGGGTTCAGTGCTTTTCAAGCCCAGGAGCACAAACTGGCACCTCCCCGGAGCACCGACAGCTCCAGGGGAAGATGCTCCTCCGCGGGCAGCCGAGGGCTTCTGGCTGCCACCCTCCTGCCTGGCCTTGGCAAAGTCACCTCCCTGTCAGCGCTGCACCAGCTGGCCTCCCAGCCCAGCACGTTATCAAGGGGAGCGCTGCCCTTGGGCTGCTCCCAACGGGAGCCTTGGGTTGAGCAAGATGACTCATCAGAGGAACGTCCCTTGCATCACCCGGCTGTCCCTGCCAGATGAGGTCACCCACGCTCACCGCCGGGTCAGGACTTTGCACAGCCATCGAGCGACATCAATGCTGCCAAAACGAACTTTACTGTGAAATTAGCTCCTTGTTCACCTGTTCTCCCAAACACACAGCCCCCAGCGCAAGCGCTTGGGTCCAGCTAGTCCCTGACCTCCAAGGAAGGAGGGGGGGTGGGAGCCTCTGACATGAGGCCTTGTTTCCCCTGCCTCCACCCCAGGGGCGTCCCCAGGCCACAGGGCGTCTGCATCGAGAGCAGTTCTCTTCTCGAGCCTCCCAGGGAAGGGCAAGCCCCTCTCCACCCACCCACCTCTGCCCTCCCCACCTCCAGGACTGGCAGGGGATTTTTCTGAGCTTAACTTACATCCACAAACACTTTCAGCTTGGCTTTGCTCGGGTCTTTCAGATCCTCCTCCGAGCAGTCGTCCTGGCTCTTGCAGCAGCTCCGGGGGATGCCCCTCTGGGTGAAGTACTCGGTCCTCTCCCAGTCCGAGTAGTTCTGCACCCCGCAGCAGTGCAGCTGGAGGGGGAAGTATGTTGGGGGAGCACAGTCACACCAGGGTACTGACCCCCTTGTTCTACCATCACTCCCACAGCTCCCCTGCCCTCGCCTCACTAGGAACTGCCCCCATCTCACCCCCATCCTCTCCCAAACTCAAAAGGCCGTGGTGCAAAAGGACCCCCATCACTGCGACAGGGATGCCGATACCGCAGGGGGTCCCAGGGGACGCCCCGGGGTGAGGCAAGCGTACCCACCCACCGCCAGCCAGGCGCCAGCCTGCGGCACTCACGGTTCTCTGGATGGTGTCGACGGCCTCGCTGTGCCGATCCGCGGTCACGTTGTAGTCCCTCAAGGCCAGGTTGAGGTTACTCTCAAAGTTTGTCTTAATCTGCAAGAGAGAGGTCTCTGCGGCGGCGCCGTCCCCTCCCGCGCTTTGGGACCCACAGTCCCACATTAGTCACCTCTCGGCGACGGCAGGAATGACTCTGGCTGTGGCCAGCAGACATTCCCTCGGCCACCCAGGCAATTAAACGCTGTATTAAAGGGCAGGCTGGGATGCGCTGTGGCAGCAGGGATGCTGCGTGTAATAACAAGGACCTACACGCTCCCAACCCCCCGCCCCTGCAAGCAGGCTGCTTCGTGGCGCAAGAACCCTCAGAGGAGCTTTAATTCCAGAAATTATTGCAGAAGATAGACCAAAGCCAGAGATTAAAGTCCAAGGCTACTTTGCCTGTTCTGGTGGTGGGGCAGTGTGCTCTGCTGAGCAGATCCTGCACCCAGCCTTGTTCTTACAGAGACTTCAGGGGTCCTTACAGGGACCAAGCAACTCCTTAGGCTGTTCTAACCCCATTTTAGCTAAACTAAGCACCGCTCCCAGCAGCACCTCTGTACCTCCAGTGACATCTGCAACTGCACTTGGGTTAAAACCAGCATCAAACTTGCTCTGCAGCACTGGCAACCAGCAGCAGCCGCCCAGACTCACCTCATGCCTGAAGACGAACCCCACGACGGCAGCCACCAGGACGATGAGGAAGATGAGGGACAGGAGCATGGCGTACTGCAGGCAGAAAGGGCGGGATGGGACGGGTACGATGGGATGGGTAGGATGGAATGGATGGGACAGGATGGGGTTGGGATGGGATGGGGAAGGATGAGATGTGTCGGGATGGGTCAGGACTGGTCAGGAGGGGATGGGGCCCTGTCCCGCCC